AATATACCTTAAGTAAGTAAGAAATGGTATTGGGTAAGATGGTGAAGGGCTTTATGTTGTAGCAATGTAATTGTACAGAGTAAGCTGAGTTTAGATGTTATCATAGACATATATGTGTGTACGTGTAATAATAGCCCATTGGATAAAAGTATCTGCAGTGGAGCAGAATTAAGTTAAGGTGATAGGCTACCAAAACAAAATAAACTTTGTGGCAATTTTCTATTGGATTGGAATGTTATATATTGCCTTGTAATGAAAAAATTTGTGACTACCTTGAGCTATGGCCGACTTCTTATGCCTCTAAAATCTCACAGTCTTTGAGGTTGATGTTTATCTTAGTAATAAATCGTTTTTAGCCTGACAGTAGTCCCATCCCTTCAAGTAAGGCATCGATAATAATTGTGGTGAACAATTTAAAAAGCAGACTTGCCAGCATTCATAACAAACTATTCAGATGGAAACTTCTTTAAAACTGCTTCACAAGTTGTTTTTTTTCTAATAAGTCATTCTAGTAATCCATTGTAAACAGTCAATGCTGGGACGTCTGAGACAGCTGACAGCAATCACCTTTTTACACAGGATGCCCTTAGGTGATAATTAGCTCCCATTACACAGACAAGCGATTCAGCTGTGAAAGTAAGCACATGCCTGGTCCCCAGCTGCATTTCCTAGGTGGAAGGGAAAACAGCCTGACAGGTGACATTCACACCTTGTGTCTGAACTCACAGACACTGTGCTGATGTTAGCTCGTTGCAGCGAGAGCAAACACACTGCCCTGAGCATAATGCAAGGGAAATTTAAATAATTCAAATGCTTTCTTCCCACCTGCAAAGCAACATTGTTTAACTCTGGTGAATCACGCGTGCATTGCACATTTATTCCATTTAAACCTTAACGCCATCCTGAGGTATTTGCTTTCAAACATATTTTGACATTTCTCTCCATTTTTGCAGAATTGTCAGCTACAGGAGGACAACACTTGAGTTGAAATTTCAGGCTGTTTCCCAAGTTGAACATGTCCAGTGCCTGACTTTTGTGTAAACTCTTAAGCGCCAGATGTCAGTCTTCCCTGAGCCAGCTATTATTTAGAAATATTAGCAGAGGCTGTCAGTGATGGTGGTCATTTTTAGCAGTGGCTGTGACAAAATTGATTTGCCACCACTTAAGGTCCTCCTCCCATCTGAACCTCATGCAGGTGCTGGGATGCATTTCCCAGCTAGACCATAGGAGAATTTGTGATCCATCAAAAGTGAGGTAATTCAGCCTTGGGATGAAAATAGAGGCAAATCCAATGCTCCTTTATGGCAAGAAGGCAGCAGCCTGGACCATTGCTTAATGCTCAGTTGTTCCTTGTCAGTTCAAAAAATCCTGAACATTCAATCTCTTTGGTATTGAACCAACCTGAAGCAAATTTTTCTTTTTGTTGAAGTTTCCTCTGCATTGGAAAAACCTGAATCATTCAGCTATTTTGATGTTCTCCCAAAAGAAAAGACGAGGAGCCCCACCTAAAAAGTCAAGTCTGAGACTTTCCACTTTCTTTCACGCAAACAAGGTGGCCAAATTGAGATTGAACAAGTGGCATTCACTCTGGAATTTTGTAACTTTCAAGAATTAGTATTGGCAATGCAAGGAACCTTTCACTATATACTTTGGATATAATGTTACATGCTCTGTATAATATAGCCATAGGAGTCTACAGATTCCAAACGATGAAAATTATTTCCCTGCTCTTTGGCAGACCCGCAGGCAGAGGGATTCGATTAAATTCCATTTCTATTTCTTTCTGGTTTGAGATATATTTAGACATTTAGTGCTTGTCCTGCAATTAATTTCTCATGTCCTCCCTTTCAATCTGGTGAGGCTTTTACAAAGTCTTGTGCATCATGCTTTGTCCTCCCTTGTCCTTCCATTTCTGGGCAAGGAGGGCACATTCCTATTTCCTGTAACAATAGGTGTAGCCACCAAGGGCTTCCTGTTGCAGAAATCTGTTTGTTAGCCTGGCATCCCAGCTCTGTCTGTGCCAGAGACAGCAAAAGCTTTTCTCCCAGTCACAGTGAGCAGACTGGAAAGCAGATGCAGATCACAGCAGGCCTGCTCAGATCAGTGTAGTGTCATTTTATGCCAGAGTAAAACCTGAACAGTTGCAGAGGTTGTTTGCTTTCATGTGAAGTGTGAGCCACAACTCATGTAAGTCTTGGTCCAGGATGCATCTGAGGTCTGAGGGGACTGTGGTGATCCATGGCACTTTTTAACCAGAGGCCTTGTAATGGTTAATGTGGCAGCTGTTTACCTCATTTGTTAGAAAAATGGCAGAAATCTCTGGAAAAACTTGCCTCCAGAGGCTCTGAATCATTCCTTCATTACTAACGGATGGCATTTGATTCCAGCAGAACTGAGCTACCAAGCAATTACTGTCAAAGAGGAGGCAATCTTTTTGTTGTCTGCTGCCTTGTCAAGCAATGAGAATCACAGAATCACAGAATGATTTGGGTGGGAAGAGACATTAGAGCTTATCCAGTTCCACGCCTTGCATGGGCAGGGACACCTTCCACTAGACCAGGCTGCTCCAAGCTCTGTCCATCCTGGCCTTGGACACTTCCAGGGATGGGGAAGCCACAGCTTCTCTGGGCAATCTGTGCCAGGGCCCTACCACCCTCATGATAAAGAATTTCTTCCCAATATCTGATCTGAAGGTCCCCCCCTGCTGATGTGGCTTTCCTGGGTGCTTTTCATTGAGCACTCTGGGGTGCTGTGCAGTGACCATAACCTCTGACAGGGAAAAGGAGCAACCTGAGCCACCTCCAGAGCACAGGCTTCAGCTCTAAGTGCATTAAAACCCTGCAGAAGTGACCAGAAGTGACAAACACAGGGTTTCTGTTGCCAAGCACACTGTGTTGGGGGACTGGAATATAACACTCTTGCACATGGAAATTAGCATTCATCTCTCTTAGGAGAATGTAGGTATTTTTATGGGATCCTGCTATTGCAAAATGATGTGAAGAAGTACCTCTCAACCTTACTGGTCCAGCCCCAGTCAATCAATCAATCAATCAATCAATCAATCACATACCTCACTTCATTTATTGTAGGGGAAGAGGACCTTTTAGCTTAGCAACTGTCCTGTCAGGGTTCGGTTTCATGGAGAAGCTGTGGATTTGGCCCAGACTCATCCAGCTTGGAAAATGCAGGGTAAATACTCCCTACTTGCTGTAAGAGGCTTCCAGAGCTGAGTGGGGTCTGGCTCTGCTGTCCACATCCTCCCACTCATCCTCCCATGGCTTTAGACAGAGGAGAAGAATTGGCAGGAAATCAGAGCTACTCACAGGAGTGGTATGTCAGCTTCTGTGCTGCAGACAAATTCATGAACTTTGCTATGGTCCTCTCTGGCTGACAGTACTGTGAAAAATGCCTCAGTGTGAATTAAGATAACACTGTTGTGCTATGGCTCTGGTGGCTGCATACCCAACCTTGCATTGTCCAGCACGTGGGTCCAATAACTCCAGTAACTCTCACTTTGGTGACACTCTTGATTTTACCTTAACCCGAAGAAGGACCTGGCCAGAGGCAACTTGGGGACACAAAGGTAAAAAGTAACTGGCTGATAGGTCTGACATGTTTAAAATTACAGTCTGTCCTGGGACACACAAATGCCTGCTCTATCTCCTTCATCTCTAAACATTTATTTAAAAGCAAAGATAGATAAATAAATGAAACTGTATCCTGTCAAACAGTCTAGTGATTTAAACTATGTAGATAGCAGATTAATAAAGCATTTCACAGGAGGGGAAGCACATGTGGCAATCTACAAAAGAGGTGAAACAACTGGAAGTGCTGGGAATGACAGAGGTGCCTGCCAGCCATGATATGCACTCATAGTGTGCAGTTTCTTTCTCCCCAGGTGTTTTTTTAATTAGTTATAGCTGAGTCTCCTGAGACTCTCTCCTAGATATGAACAACTAATTTTAAACTTCATCTGTGTGCAGACCTTACATGAGGCAGGTTTGCATGTTGTGTTAATATGCATTTCTACCTATATCAAAAAAGGACAAGTGACACAACAAAACAATTTTTTTGGTTTTGTATTTCTAACATGAAAAATGCTGTGTAGGCTACTTGATTATTAGAAAGGAGTTAGCTGTCAAACCTTGGCAGGTCTCATGTGACTGAGTATTGGGTGAAGGTTTAACCCTAAGAGTTGTAAGAAAATCTCTGGTTTCTGTCAGGAGGTCCTCCCTGGCTGACAGTACTATGAAAAATGCCTCAGTGTGAATTAAAATAACACTGTTGTGCTGTGGCTCTGGTGGCTGCATATCCAGCCTTGCAGTGTCCAGCATCTTGCACTTGTTACCTGCTTGAGCAAACAGATGTATTTCTTTAATTTGTTACTATGATTAGTGATCATAGTCTGCCTCAAAACATTCCCTAGCTGGACTTTCAGCCCAGCCCCCTGCACCCTGCCATAGTTGTCTGTGGATGGACCCCACAGCCTGCACACCCTGCACAAGATTAAAGCAGCAGATTTAAAGCAGCTGTAATGTCCAGAAAGTGCTGCAAGCAAAAAGCTTAGTAATACTTGCAACACTTCTGTAAGGAAAGCACATAAATATATTATTTATCCATGTATATGTGTGAAAATAGAAGTACATTTTCTCATCACAGGAAAGGAATAGGGATCAGAGTAAGCAGCCAGGACCAGTTTAATATGAACAGGGAGAAACAAGCTTAGCCTCCCACTCTGGCTATGCAGAATCAAACAAGAGAAGGAGAATGCAGCCATCAATAGCACACACAAGGTCATACCAGATCGAACAGAACTAACAAAGGAAGGTAGAAGCCTCTTAACACCTCCTCTTTCTTCCTCATGCTTTTCCTTCTTCTTTCTTGCCTCCCGAGATTAAATCTGCAGCTGGAAATACTACAAGTTTTTCTTGACAGGAAATACTTTTGTGTTGGGTGTTCCTGAAACATGATGGAAACCATTTGTGCTTTATGTCTTCCAGAAAATTATATTGATGTGCCTCAAGATGGGAGAGGTAAGACCAGACTTCAAGGAGCAGCTTTCAAGAAAATCTACTAAATTACAAGAGCTGAAAAAATTATGGATAAGTAGGAGAGAGAAAGACTACAAGAGGAATATTGAGCAAGTCACCTGAAGACAGACACCATTCAAACAGCTTCTACAGGCAAATGATATAGAAAGAGTCTCCAGGAGAAAGTAGTCTGTAAGCAATATTTAAATTCTAGACTGACACTGTTATCTCTGAAAGGAAGCATCATATTTGTGAAAATGCTCAATAGGAAGAAAATTATGTTGCTCTGGCAAATCCACACAAAGGTGGGAAATGACCCACCTTTGACAAGACAAACCTTTGGTAGATAACTTTTCTTTGCCTCCCCATCCATCAATTGCCATTTGAGCCTAATCTCAGCCTAAGTGTCAGAATCCTGAATGTGAGTTTTTCCAAAGTTCTCTGGTTAACATTTTGTCACAATAGCGTAGATGCTGGTAATCCACATCACTGTTAACCATATGGTCCTATGCATTGCAAAGGTAAGCAGAGCCCTTTCATTGAGTCAGACTGCAGGCTAACTTCAACCATAATGCACATTTTTAGATCACTGGCAATGACTCTGCTAAGACTATCCAAGCCCATCTTAAATTTAGGTTCTTGAAGAGGGCATCCTTTATTAGGATGTAACACCATTCCACCCCCATACTCCTGGAAGCTGAAAGCAAAACAGAAAAAACCCAACTAATTGTTTATTTCAAAAGCAATAATACAATTGTCCCCCTCCTTTCTAAGGCAATAGTCAAATTCCCTCAGCCACTGCCTGACTGCAGAGTTTACCCCACACAAGTCTCAGAATCCATTTGTAAGCCAGAAGGGCAATGACTTTGCCACAGAGGTATGTGGAGCACTTGATCACTGGGTTGCAGTAGGTTGACAACTTTCTACAGGGCAGGGTTATTTTAAAATCATACAGTACCAATTACATGAGCAATTCCTGTGAGATTCAGTTATTTAAGATATTTGCATGGAGAACCTGGTAGTGACAAGCAAACAGAGGAGTTCATCTGGAAATCATAACACAAAGCCATGATAATGCCAGTTTAATCCTTCATGTCTAATATTTTGTCCTGCAAATCTCAGTAAGTTTAAAATAACCTTACATTTTACCATTAAACCACAACATGAGGAACAACTTGTTAATGAATAATCAAGCGTTACTTTTGTACCTCTTTGACTGAATTAATTTTAGTTTTCTATTGAACTCAACGGGGACACTCTTCTCAGTGATTTGAGTTAGTTCTTGGCTACTGGAATTCAGGATGGTATGTGACTAAAACCATGAAGGAATAAATAGACCCAGTAAGTCTGGACACCACAGGAGTGGAAGCCCAGTCTTCAAATAAAGCCCAGTCTGAGTAGCATGCCAACATGCACATGCCCCTTTTCTCTGTAAACCAACAACATGCCAGGTATCACTGAGTAGGGGCAGGCATTGCCTAAAAGAACGAATTCACAGGTGGGAGTGCTACCCTGCAGGCATGAAACTCCATCCTGTCCCAGGAAAGCTTGAAGCCTGGCCCACTCTCACTCATCACAGAAGCTCCTGCACATGCCCCCAGCTTGGAGAGACCTGAGGGAGCTGCCACAGTGCACTGGGGTGTTACACCTGTGTTACACCTTAGGAACTCTCCAAGAAAAGCAAAGCAAACCGAGTGGCTGGTGGTGATGCCATCCATACCAACATCATGCTCCTCCACACTTCCCCATTGGCTCCAAGATCCATAACCCCTGCAGACACCCAAAAAAGTATCCACAGTAACCAGTGTGGCATTCTGCAGTAACTGTTTGGTCCTTTTACTTCTCCCAGCACCTACTTTCGTTGTGAGGTGATGACTGCCACAGAGAGCTTTTGAAAAAGCTTATGTTCATAGAGGAATTTGTATTAGATACTGGTTTGTGTGACTTACTGTATTTTGTAAGGGTTTTTTTCCCTTTGGGAATTGTGCGTTATTAATGAGCAGTTTTATGCTTTACTTCTAGTACACGTATACCTTGTAATGGATGTGCTTTTTGTTAGTTTGTTTTCTTTTATTCTCTGTACAGAGCCAGTAAATATAAGGTAGATACTCTCTGGCTGAAATTCTGATTTTGCCTACCAATTAATTTATGGATAAATCCATGTTGTAGCTGGTGAATAATTTTTCATCAATTGTGTTGTTATAATCACCTGATAGTCTCTCTACTTCAGCAGAATAAAAGATCCTGAATAAGACTAATGCTAATTGGGCCTTAAATTAAAGGGAAATTGTGCACTACATATTTCCCTACCATCATTTCTATCAGCCCTTCTTCCTTGCTGTTGGGACACTGGAGAAGAGCACTGGCTACACAAACAGCCACCTGAACACCTCATCCACCTCTGTAGCTGTGCTCTGATATCCCTCTGCATTTACTTGATCAAAACTATGGTGGATCAGATAAACTGCAATGAATTTTCAGTTATTTCTGCAGAGAGATTGGTTCAAATGCAATCCTTCTCTAAAAGAAATTATCTGGACTAAAATTATTGTATTTTTCTCTGTGCCCATTCGGATATGTTTGGAAAAATAAGGGTTCTGAAATTAACACTTTAAAAAGTGCATACATTATACCTTGCATGTGACAATGGCAGCTGTCTATCTCAGTGGCTGTTAGGGAGCTTCCTGCTCCGGAGGCCCCTTCCCCTGCCCAAATAATTTCCTCTCTTCTGTTTCACTGATAGCTGTGTCCAACTTCTTAGTAATTGCTGTGTATAATGTAGGACATAAAAAGTTAGGTTATAAAGCTTGTGCAGGACTTGGTGTTGTAAATTTAACCATCTTTCATGCCTGGTTATGGATTTTACAAAAAACAGAGTGAAAATAATCTGGCCACTTAATGTATAATTCAGCATATTGTAGCAGCTATTTTAGACACCTATTTTTTATAGTTTTACTACAGCTGTAATTTCTGTATGAGGACTGCCCACTTGAAGAAGCAATGAAGTTAACACGTCAAAATGATTTTTTAAAGTCTGTTCTATTCCACTACCTGCGACTGTGTATAAAAAGTAAAGCAACAAAAACAAAACCTCAACCACTGCTGGGAAGAAACACCTTTTCTCAGCTTCAAAAGTTCTCTTCTGTAAGACAGGCATTTCTTCTAGTCCTCCTTTTACAAAAGTAGCAAATTACTAAGAAAATAGTATATATACAGTACAATAGTCTATTTTGATAGTCAGCAGACTATTTTAGGCTAATTAAGCTAACTAGAAATTGTAGGGTTGCAGTGATTTCTCTTTATTGATAAATTGATGATAATACTGTTTCCATATCTCTTGGTGTTTGAAATCAAGACGTGCCAGGGTCCAGTGATTTGCTAATCTAGTTTCTGGTCTGATCCTGTCCTATTTTTTTGCAGCATTCTCTAACTTCATATTATGAATCATGTTGTCTTTCTAAAGTGATTGCCAAGCAAACCAAAAATGTGTTTTACACTGCTATTGCACTGCTCTTGTCTTTATATACAGTAGTTTTTATAAAGATGTCCTTAGGTTTTAATAAATGAGTGTAACGTAAACTAATCTCTGTAATAAAACTTGCTTTAGTGTTTCAAAGGCTGTCTGGAATAGCTGTAGAGATTTGAGCTTCTGAGTATTTCAATAGCTTCAAAATTTGTGGCTTCCTTTCCCTCTGCAGGAAATCCCCAGATACCAGAACTCCACGGTCTGTAAAAGGGTAAAATGAAGAGAGTGTATTTAACCCAAAGAATGGACTTAGAGGTGGGGGGAAGGGGCCCCAAGAAGCCAAACCACACCACAAAAATCATTAAGGCCATTGCATTAATCAATACATATTCCGTTTAGTCTGCTTTTCCAGCCGTTGCTCATACCAGATATTTAAGAGGGAAGTGTGGGACACTGAAGAGAGATTGCTAAGAAATAAAGGTTATCTTTCCACCACTCGAGGCAAGCTGAGAAGGCCAAACTGCAACTGATTATAAAGAAAGCAACATTTTGACTTTCACACTAAAGTACTCTGTCCCACATGGCTTATCTCTCCTGCTGAGGCAAACACAGTTTAGTTTGCTTTGGACAGAAAGGCAGGACCAACAACTCTCAGGGAAAAGAGATTTAATTTGTTCTTTGCTTCCAGGTTGAAGGATTTGGACAGTTTCCCCAGGAAGTTTTAGATTTTCTAAACACTCTCTCAAGTCTCCTTGTCACCTGTTGTTTAGGAGGCATCATTGACAATGTTCCCAAAATACTGAGAGCTTTGAGCTGAAATTTCAGCTCTCCCATTAGTAAAAGGGAGTATTTTTGACAACATCACCTCTTGGAACAGATTGCTTCCTTTTACAGAAAGAATTCTTCCTCTGTCCTGCTGCCCCCAAGCTTGAGTTCTCCTCAGCTGTTTTCTTGTCCTCCTTGCCTTGGTCCATCCCAAATCCTTGGTATCTGACTGAAGTCCTGGCATTTATACACAGCAGTACCTTTTCCCATTAGAAATTATCCTTTCAGCATCAGATCACTAGCCTCAGACTAGAGACTGTGCTGTGTCAAAAATAGATTTTATAGACAAATTTAAAAGAAAGGATGAGAAATCCCTTGTAATGTCACTTACTTCATGTGCCAGAGTGCATTTCTGGAGCTTCTATAACAAAGCACATGAACTCTAAAGTAGAAAAGGATCATTTTCATTAAAGCAACACTTCAGTAATTCTTAGGGGTTTTACAACTGTAAGAGACTACAATTGCACTCCACTGTGCTAAAATTTATGGAAGGTATTGTAGAAAGAAAGAGGACAAAAAACAGCTTTAAAAAGACATAAATGTGTAAAATTACATGTAATTGCAACCCAGTCCCCTTCTCAAACTTGCACCTGCAATTATGAAAACAGTTAAATAGATGAGACAAAGGACATAAATCAATTGATTGGGTGTGTTATAGCTCCCTCACCAAGTTTCAACAATTTTTATTATGTGCTTTTAGTAATTGAGTAAGGGTTATATTCAGCACATTATGCTCACCAGGAACAGCTTTTATATACCAAGGAGCAAATTAAATACCCCTGGAATTTCCATGGGAGATGTTAAAATGCTGATATTGACTTGCAGACTGCCGTTATCACCAAGTCAAAACAAACAGGAGCATCACAGCCAGTTCCTTTAAACTGTTAATTCTTACTAGAAAGCAGAGACTTCATTGATTTGCTGGTTGTTCACACATACAGAAGGACAAGGAGAGAAAAGAGAACCAAGATTTGATTTTTGTTTCCAAGAAAACAAAACTCTTGTCACTCACTCAAGCTATTCCAAACAATTAGTTTAATTTGGAAAATGAAAAAATGTTACTTGGGGGGTGGGGGAGGGAACATACCAATACATTAGGTATGAGTAGCTACTGCTGCTGCTTTGCTGTAGTGAGAATTAACAGTGAAAATCAGGTTTAAATCCTTGGTGTTGAAAACACACAAACTAAAAAAACTTTGATCTAGGGGACATTTGAGAATATTCTCCCCTTAGCCAGCTACAGAGATTTAATTTAAGGCATTTTTGGGAATTACATGGGTTTTGTTTGTTTTGACTGCCTCATAGTTACTGCTTAAAAATGCTGTTTTATCAGGTAAGGCTACTGAAAACAGTTGAAACCTTTGAGACATCTGAAAAGCTGTGTTCCATTTTACCTCAAAGCTTTTGCTCCCCAGGATAAGGCCTACCTCCTCTGCTGTCCAGTATTTGCTGTCCTGAGAATTAAGAATATTGTATCATTACTACTATTACTATGCAGTATCAAACTGTTCCCTGCAAAGCCACCTTCATCAAGCATTCCTGACTTTTGTTGGAAGAATTTATGTTGCAAAATGCTGCTGGGGTGGGTGGGAGCACAGTAGGAAGTGCCACCTTCAGTGAGCTTGTGATAGCTGGGGTTTGCTGTATAAACTCTATTATCATTTTAACCACACAGTCCACCTCCTATTTCCCTGAGTGATTGTGCACTCAGCAGCCGCCAGAAAAAGCCAGTTGGGAATTTATCTAGCAAGGAGACACAGCATCCTTGTGCTGGATCTGCTATTATTATGCAGATATAGGAGCTCAAGACATTTCACAACCTCTCCCTCTTTTCTTTGCTAGCTGCATGGATGCTTGTTAAAGAAATCATCTCCAACTAATAAAAAAACCTTAAAAGTCCTAAACCCTAAGGAAAGAAATCGTGCAATACTGTGCATCTCACAAATTTTGGTTTTTTATAATACCCACAGAAATGCCACATAAATAAAAGGCACTGCTTAAGCCCCAGTTGCATTTTTATGGAGTTTCTAGGCTGTAGCTCAGTGGCACAGGATGTGACTTCTGTTAGTGCTCTGCACTCATCATTTCTCCTTTCACAACTTCTTCCCACACTGCCCATAAACAAGAGCACTCTAAGTGACAGGCAATGCTTTTGCACTACTGGAGGTGCTCCCACCCTCCCTGAGACCCAGCCATGTCTGATGGCCTGTAGTAGAAACAGGCAATGCCCCAGCCGGGGAATAAAGTGCTCTGACTCCATGATTCAAGGGGCTGAACAGCTGCTTTAAGCTATACTATATTACACTAATACTATACTAAATTACATACTAAAAAGATACTATACTAAAGAATATAAAAGAAGAACCCATGACTGTCTGGAAACAGCCAGGACACAGCTTTGACCCAATTGGTCAAGGAATCAAAACAACCTTCACCGGTGTCCAATCAACAAATCACTCTGGGTAAATTAAACAATCTCCATAACACATTCCATGTCTGCAGAACAACAGGAGCAGTGAAGGGAGATAAGAATTGTTTTCTCTTCTTCTCTAAGCTTCTCACTGCCTTCCCCAGGAAAATTCCTGGGAGAGTGTTGTGCCTGCTGCTCTCTGTGAAGAGAGTTGTGGCCACACAGGGCCCTCAGCAAGCAAAGACTTCTCTGCAAGGACCAACAGCTTCACCTCCTAAACCATTGTCCCTCCCAGTCTGTGCAGGGAGGTCTCTGCTCACCCAAGGCATCTCTGACTGCTGCCTTTGGCTGGGGACCTGCTCCTCTGCCTCAGGTCCTTCAGCATTGCACCGACAAAAGGGGAACCACAAGTGGAAAAAGTGCCCAGAAGTGGAACTGATTCAGGACAGAAATAAAGCAGGAATACTTGGACTACTTGAACACACTTTCAACTTCTGCCCCCAATCTCCAGTGTTCAGACAACAGGAAAGCAGGCCATGGGAGAACCACTGCTATTAAGAAATCTTCTTTCTTCTCAACTGTAAGATTGTATGCACTAAGGCTTCCAACAGCCTTTTGCAGAGACACACATTCCTTACTGGCAGGAATGGACAGTTTGGGCAAATCCAGTTTTCTGTTTCACTACTTCTTCTCAACACTTAAAGAAATAATATTTTGGCTGGACTGTGCTCTTTCCTAACCAGCTGCAAAATGCCATTCTCTGCCTGCTGCACCCCAAACCTGTGTAGTCACTAGAGGCTCCCAAATGCAATTCTGACACCAGCCCACACTGGAGGTCCAGCGTGCTCTGGACCAAGTCTTTTTCCTGAAATAGACTCTGTCAGAGCTGTGTAAAACTTGCAACCTGATGTTATGGGCAGATTGTTACATGGCCACTTCCCAAGGTTTGACCCAGGGTCCCTTGTGCTATCCTCTCCTAGAGGGCACAATCCATGGTACACTGCTCTTGCCTTTTCCAGGTCTCCCCATGTCGCAGGAGTGGTTTTCCAGCCCCATCACTCTCTGGCTCACTCCATCACCAGGCAATGAGGCACTTCCTTCTGTTTTTCAGGGAGCCAGGAACATCTGCATGCCCTAAGGGAAGGAAGCAGTTTTTAAAAACACTTTTAAGTGTGAGCTTTGGATCTGTGATTCACATCCACACTCTGCTCCCCCAGTGCTACCCAGTTTGTACCACAGGGTTGGGCTTTGGCTTTGCTGCTGAGGTGAATTGAGGAGACAAACCTCGGGGAGCTGGCAAGCAGCAAATAAATTTGGAGCAGAGTAGGGTAAAAGCAGCAGGGTCCGAAGATGGCCAAGCTGTGTGCCTGGTTACTGTGAGCCCCTGAGCCAGAGGAACCCTCTCCCCCCTGTTTGCACATACCCAAGCAGCGGGCTCATATCTCAGCCATGCTCCTTTCCCAGGCAAAGTCAAACACCCAGAGATCACCCCCGATCAAAGGGAGCCACCACTTGCCCAGGGCATGTGAGCACATACCAAGGATGTGTCTGCAAGCATGAAGAATGGTCTGGCCCAGACCCAGAAAGTGTCAGCCTGCTTGGCTGAGAGACTCTCTCCTCCTCTGTGCCGTGTCCCGTCTCGAGCCACTGGCTTGGCCATCCCCTTCAAGCCTGTCTGACTTACATCATTAATTCCTCCAGTGCTGCTACAGGAAAACGAGCACTACAAAATGGCTACCCAGAAGACACACAGAAAACTTCAGAACTAACAGGAAAATATAAAACTGGGTGGCAGGAGGCCTCTGCAAAAACATGAAGCTTTTGCCAAAGCAACTGCAGGATTTTTTAGTGTTTCTTTTCTTCCCATTTCAGCCAAAAGTTTCTCATCTAAGAAAACCTACCTTGGCATACCCAA